ATAACTAGACAATTAAACTAGAAAGCATGCATTCAAAGGGAGACAAAACTGGGAACTATAATTCTGTTCCCAATTCTGGAACAAACCTTCAGTTCATTGCCTCACATGCTACCTATTAGTAATATGCTAAAACAAGTAATCTGAAAGATGGAGGAAAAGTTGAGTTAAATCCATGCCAAACCAATATATATATCGATTCTATTCATATTTACTCAGGAGTAAATCCCATAAATAAAATGCCCCAGTGAAATGGGACATTCAGGTAAATCATATGGGAATGCAGCTTTAACCATCACTACCACAAACCACCCCAAAACGTCATTGTTCTGACAGTGCTTTCAAAAAGGTGGTGATCAGGCCCACATTTTGGTGGATCGTATTAACTAGAGAATATTGCAGGGAATACTATAAAGACATCAGTCCATATATGTGTAAATATTATTGTGCTGAATTCTAGCTTCTAATGCAAGAAGGAAACCTTTTTCATTATATTTCCAACAAGTCAGGCAGACAGTTATCCAAGTCAGAATATCTTCTATTTTTTTTTTCCTTTTCATGATCCACAGTATTTGATGAGAACAGAGTGGAATATATTTAATAAATTATGGAAATTAGAGAGATTAATTCTGTACAAATAATTTGCTAGATTACAGTATTTGGAGTGTATATTAAGCAAAGTATGTCAACTGGATTTGAGGAGTTACGATTTGGCAACCTTGTTTAAGGAGGAAGCAATTACTTGAATAACCCCCTCTAGGAAGTCTGCAGGGTTGCCCGGCTGACATCAGTGACACCTCCAGTAGAATATCACAGTTACTAAATTAGCTGTAATATCACATGACAGTTTGGGAATGATTATCTTTGTCAGGGCTCACTCTGGCTGCCAGTTTTCTATCACTGTGTCACCATCTCCACTGCAGACACAAATCCATAGACAGAAATATCTGGGTTTAATTTAAAACCTATCTATTAAAACAACAGTTGCCCAGAAATCCAATCTATCTGATTATGGATTTGGATGAAGGGGATCCTTTTAGACTCTCTGTTCCCTATTCCAGTTCTTTTTTTGAAGCTGAAATTATGTTATACTATAAAATGAAATTATAAGAATAAAATTATGAAATGTCAGATTAGGTTTAGTTGTAATACTAGAATCAATTCCTTTCTTAGACTCTTCTGTTCCACATTACAGATTCCTTCCTTTTCTGCAGCTGACATTATGTTATAGTACAATAAAATGTCAGAGTATGTCTAGTTATAACAGTAGAATCAATTATTTTTTGCTGTTGGTTATTACAGCACACTATATTGTATGCGCATACATACACTGCATCACATACATGGACTGGTGAAACATACAATGCAACATATTCTATAATTAATTTCATAAAAAGAAGACTGTAGGACAAATGGAGACACACTGCCAAATATAAAAAAATGTGATGAGGAAATAAAGTAACTCTGGGTTACCCAGGCATCTTCAACATTATGTCTGAGACCATCTCAACTAGCACAGGCAGAACAGCAAGATAAAAACAAAACAAAAAAACCCCCAAACACTAACAATCTCTATCTGTCTATGATCAAAAATCAGGTGCAGGGTTTGTGCTGTATATTACCTGGAACTATAACATGAAAAGAAGGATATCTATTCCTTTGACCAGGTACCAATTCCCTCATTTAAATGTCTCTCTCCAAAGCACCAGTTAGACCCAAAGGAGCTTAAGAATGTTTCCACATCCTGCAGTCAATAATTCTAGCTTTGGATGAGTGCTTTTTGGCACATCAAAGCTCCTACTCCTATCAGTCTAAATTAGAGCTCTCTCACGGTTGCTTTTTATAAGACAAAATAAACGTTGGAAGTCCATGATGCCCCAAACAAGCTAAGGTTTCTTTACTTTATGCTAGTTTAAACTACAGCAATGTTTCTCAACCTGAACAGCTTTCAGATGTGTGGCTGGGGAATTCTGGGAGTTGGAGTCCACTCATCTGAAAGCTGTCAAGGTTGAGAAACACTGGACTAGAGTTTCATCCAAAAGAGTCTAAAGACAATTTTACTATACAGCCTAATCCAATTTCCTGTTTATAAGAAATTAAGTGTTCATTTCTTGATATAATCAGTTCAATTTGTTACCAGAGCATGCTCTTCCTTGTGATTCATTTTTAAGGTTTTGATAAGTACTCCCTATTGTGGGTTTTTTGGATGGGAGGAAGAATCTTATTTGCTTTAAACAGGCGTAATCAGCACATGTATTTAACAGTATGTCCCATTGAACTCAGGGTTTTCAGTATACATAATATTCCTTTTTACTGCTTTTTAAAAAAAATAAAAACACATGTTATGGTCAGGTTGCACTCTCTTCTGGTGAGAAACAGAAAGTGCAATTGATATATTTAAACTGTTTTAGGCCTTAACCTGCTTAAAATGCTTTCCACCTGTCCTTGAGCCATCAGAAAACCAAACCAGCACTAAGTTAGCTGTCCTGCTGTCAATCCCCATCCTTCCTCTCCAGACCCTGTTCTAATTTGCCACCAGATGGTAATATTCCAATTTAAGGTGTATAAGGAATGTTCAGCAAAGCCATTGCCCTCCCCATATTTCTCAATATCACCAGCCAATGGGAAACCATAGCCTAATCACAGTGTTGCTGTGTCTGGCAGACAGTTTTGACCAATGGCTAGACTCACAGCTTTAGCCATCTGTCAAGAAGCAGCCTTTTCTGCTTCACTGGCAGACCACCTCCACGTATCGGGCACAAGGGTTGTAGCTGATCCATGGAATAGCAGGGGCTGCAGGAGAGGTGGCAGCTTTTCCTCTCCTCAAAGGTCACACGCTGCATTTGCAGCCTCCTCCTTAGTGCATTAGTCTGCCTGCCGACAGCTATGGGAAGCTGCTATTCAGTAACCCTAAATCTAACCCAGGGAGCCCTCCAACCATTAGCAGTCCAGCAGCTTGTTTCATGATGGGGGTTGTTCTGCAGCTCCCTTGCCCCAATGATCAGCTGTTCAGTGTACCAAGCAGCCAGTAACCTGCATGTCCTGCTCTTTACCATCCCAGATAGGAAAAAAGAATGGGCCCTGTTGAATGAATGAGCAAAGTTACTAAAAGGTTACAAGCTTCCCCACTCCCCGTCCCTATTAGTCACCTGACTACACTGCTGCCAACTTGGACACGGAAACATGGCAGATGGTCTTCACCTTTAAACTGATGCTAGCTGCTGTCAGTTTTGGGAGAAATACTGCTGTAAAATTAGAACTTCAAAGACTTATCATGGGCTGAGGATGAGACAGAGGCAACATAAGGGGCGCTTGATGGAATAAAAAGGTCACAACATGTTTTTATCTTGGATAGATGCAAATGGGGAAAGGCCCTTTATTAACCAAGAATTCTGATTAATCTCATTTACTAGGGAAAGCAAAGAATCATGTTTATTTTAATTTTTTTTCATATAGATGAAAAATTGAGCACTAACTGGAGATCATTACCAACCACTTTTTTGAAATCATATTTTTGCTATATGAGCTATGATTAACTTTCATATGATTTTTCACAGTTTAAATAAAATGTGTGAATTTTTAAAAATGTAATCAGCTTTTCTTAAATCTTTAAAGCAGAGTACAACCTAATTGGGACGTGGTGGCGCAGCTGCTTAATGACGCTGAAAGTTGCCGGCCAGAAATTGTCGATGCTTCGGCAGTTCGAGTCCAGCCATCGCGTTAAACAGGGTGAGCTCCTGTTTCCTCCCCAGTTCCTGTCAACCCAACAGGTC